ATGTTTGCAATGGAAGTGTTTGTACTGCACTACAATGTTATAGTCGTGTATGTAGTTGCACTTCCCCCTCGGTTCATTCTTTTGACTTCTATTCTCATGTTTCTCTTGTCAAAATAAGAGATAAGGATGCTCTTTCTTGTCTTGCTTAACATCAAATCAGATAAATTAGAGATCACACACAATGTGAGTATACCCTGTATGTCGAGAGCAAAACACAACTCTAAGATGGTACAACAACTTGTATCCTGTTGCTCCTCGCTCCGTGGCATGAATAACAATGTTAGTTAGGCATTTTATAGTGCATAGCTGGCTAAAAAAAGGCCACCCGGCTGTCTAGGATAATCACTTTTCCTCAGTAGCGTCTGTGTCCAGGTCTTTGGCTACACTTCTGGTGGAATGCAGATTCACGGAGGCCTCAGCCTCACCAGTCTTGCCTTCCTCTTTCTAACCTTCTTTAAATGTTCTGTGCACATTACAGCTGTGTTGACAGTGAGACACGAGGAGCAGCCAAAAGCCTCACCAGGTTGTTCTTTCTGCTTGCTGCTCCGCTGGGCTCGGGCATAGAGCACCACCTGCTGCACCTCCTCCAGCTGCCCCTCCAGACAGGGAAAGTGGAAGTCTGTACACTCCTTCGCCACGGTTGCAAAGTCTGGGGGTCGACACAGAGCAGGCCAAAATCACGTCTATGCAGACCTCATCTCTGTAATTATGTAAGAAGTGCCAGAATTCTTATGTAAAATGTAAACATATCCAACATTTTATAGCAAAGTTTCTACAAAACAACACCCCAGGTTGTCCATGTGGCAAGAAGTTCACCAAAATCCTGGTCTCTCTAAGACTCTGCCCTGACCTCTCTTGATGCCACTGTAGGAGTTGACCCTGTTGTCGACCAACAACACCAGACCGCAGAGGGAGGACGAGTACAGAGAAAGGGCTGTCTGTAGCCGTCTCAGCTTTGCTCCACTGCTGCCGTGCCGCCGGTGCTTACAGAAGTCCAGCACGTCTGCCCGGACCAACCGCAGGTTGTGCATCGTCTTCAGCTGCGCTCCTGATATATATATTTTAAAAGAATATTATACATTTTACTGTAGTTCACATCTGTTTGACACATATGTACAGTCTTATACTACCAAAAATAGAATGCAGTAGAAGTGCTAAATGAACACGGTTACTGTCACAAAACTGTGTTCAAATACTTGTTTGAAGTCAGGCACCTAAGTGTATGGTGAAACTCTCCTCCAGCTGAGGCTGCTCCTCAAACATCCTGGCCCCAGAATCTGCGGGCTCCGACAGCTGGCTGGGCTGCACTTTAATCTCCTCACTGGAAATCAATCAGTAAAGAGATTCATCAAAACAAGTACACCTGATGCAGGTTTTATAGGTCCAATAAAAGAAGAACCATCCAGAGAAAAAGAGAAAATGAAATGCAGGCATTATATTTTAGTATTTTATAAAATAATTGTTATACTGCCTGGAATATGACATTATTAAACATAAAGGGTACTTTTCACAATTTTAAAAAGGAAAACTCCTCCAATTCAGCATCTGTTTTCCTGGCATCTTCTTGGACTATAAATACAATAAAACAGGAAATAATATAGCGTTTTGACAGATACTTAGTTATAAGCAATATTTGATTTCATTTCAGCACTTCATTGACAAAAAGTGAGAAAACATCCAGCTTGAATTCTGGTTGTAGTTTTCCTTTACGGGCTACAGCTTTAAAAATGCCTATTTACAAAGTGTTCAAAGTGCTGATGTAGAAGTATTAAGTTCCACCCACACATAGCAAGATAATGATATTCATCATTAGGAAAAACTGATGCAGGGTCAGCACATTGTCTGAGAAGCTCTTAGCATACAGGTCCTGGTGGTATCTGTGTTTTGATGGAATATCCAATATATGCCGAGGAGTGGAAGACCTGAATTTAAACCACCACTGTGCGGGACCACATTACTGTTAAGCACTATTAGACTTCTTATCCCAAGATGCCAGTCATAACTGATACTGCAAAGCGGAGCATCAGTCAAACTAAGATGAGTTTTTGACCTCTTGTAATAACTTCAATTTCTATGTAAATGGTGCCTGTTCTTCAAAGGGCCAGCAGACATGTCGTGTTTTGGATTACTGCTGCAGAAGTTCGTTAGTTAAGGGCCTGTTTGATCTCTGGGCAAGATTCAGTAAGACTTTTCCATTAAAACAATTCACATAAGTGATATAAGCATTTTATTTGTATGTTTTAAGGTTTAAAAATAGCTCTACCATTCTTAATCCCTCTACAAATAACCTTAAGCTGAACTTAAACCTCATAGGCCAAACAAGCCAAAGCCTCTACACAGATGGCTCACTGTCAGTGAATAAATATCATGAAGTGCCTTCTCACAATGCCACTCCAACGCCTCACACTGCATTCATCCTCGCCTGCACTGCAGCTTTTCTATTTCCACCTAACAAGAATATAAGTGCCTGACTCCAGCAGCCATTATCTTGGATCACCTGCTTTGGCTTTACCCTGACATTTAAGAAAAAGGGTGAGTGACAGAACTGAAAGAGCCTTTTCAGGTGCACATGGGTGTAAAGTGAGCGTACAGATACCAGATGTGTGTACACAAACAAAGTTTATGCTTCAGCATACACAAATATAACATGTTAACAGTCAACTGAGTGGACACACAAACACTTACAAACAGACAAACCCACTTAATTTGGCTGCTGTTGTTGGACTTCTGCAGGTCCTGATGCAGTTTGATGACCCACTCCTGATACTCCTGCTTTTGAATGCCTGTAACTTGCTTCAGCTCACTGGCCCACTTGTTCTCCAATACCTGCTCAAAGAAGACAAAAAGTAAAAAAAAAAAAAAAAACTGAGGAACTTTTTTTTATGACAACTGCATACTTTAACTAGTCAGGCTAGGGCTAATCTGAACCTGTAATTGGAAAATTCCCAAAATGAATCCCCTGCAGTGTCTGTGGGGAAATGATAACTTTGTACCTGGATCAAGGTACGCCTGCTTTTAACACTGCTACAGAGCATCCTGGCTTCTTTTTTTTACCTGCTGTGCATCAAAGTGTTGCGAGGCAACTGCATTTACGTCATGGTCACTCAAAGTGTTTCCCAGCTCATGCATCACTTTGTCCATTTCAGCTGCTTGCCTGCCACACACAAATATTCGTTCATTTAATACATCATCTATACAACTGAAAAACAGAGCCATGTGCTATTCCAACACAAATTAAGAACACCGTGGGTTAGATGGCTTAAGAAATAGAAAGACAATAATTCATTGGCATAACGCAGTGCCAAAAGGATTTTCTGTTTACCTTTAGGTGTAAACTAAAACCTAGTGATTCCACCATCATGAGTAAAATGTGCAAAGCAGCAGTGTAATAAGTCCAAGGAACTATCTTTATAAAAGCAAAGTAGAGAAAAGTCTCAGTGTCAAAGCCCAGACACCACTGAGAGATAAAGAAACACTACATTAACACCTTTAAGTCATTTATACAGTGTTGGTATAAATGACTTAAGGGTCCATTTAGGAGGATCAACCGGCAGAAATGTAATTTAATATTCATAGGTATGTTTTCATTAGTGTGTAATCGGCTGAAAATAACAATCATAGTGGGGGGTTTTTTAACCTTAGAATGAGACGTTTTTATCTACAGAGGGAGCGGGTCCTCTTGTTGAACCACCATGTTTCTACAGTAACCCAGGACGGACAAACCAAACACTGTGGGATGGAACAACTGGATCGAGAATGTCTGAAAAGGTTGGTCTCAGTCCACTTGCAAGTGGGTGCATTTGTGGTTTGAAAGCAAAACAGACCAACATATTTTATGAAAGTAAATCTGTGATTTTAGCAGGAATTAAAAAGCTATACTACTATTAGATCCATCTGCTGATTGTGAACAGAAGATCCATCTGCAGCTTATAAAGCCCCCTGAAGCAAACGGATTGGTGGTTTTGGGCTATATAAATAAAATCTGACTTGATTTATATTAGCAATCCCTCAGTATCTCCTTAAAAAGTTGGTGTGAACAACAATGTATAATGTTTAATCTTGGTCGGGACCAAATGAACCAATCTTCTTAGGGTGCAAAAGCACCTAGAAGAATACAGCTTTAGCCGTACACTATGTTAAAAATACAAAAAAAGATGGGGGAGAAATAATATCCAAGGATCACAGTTCCGGGCAATAACACCAACCTCTCCTGCAGCTTCTTAATCTCCATGTCTCTCTCACTGATGAGCTCGGAGATGCTAACAAAGTAGTTGTGCTCCAGGTTGAGAAGGGTATCAGAGGCAGGGGAGTGGATCAGCTCATGGTAAACATCGGCAAAGTCCTCATCCCAACTGGGCTCTTCAGGCCGAGCGTGCTCCAGTGTGGTCTGAAAACAGCGACAGAAGAAAGAAAACGAGTGTTTGCAAGAGGCAGCAGCAAATGGTTACAAAAAGGCGGAAAGAAATTGCTTCACTGTTTGAAACTAATCACTTCTGGGTGAGGATCTGCTGCACCTGCTGTGAGTCAGCGAGATTGCTCAGAAGAATAGAATCAAGGACACATCAACAGGCTCTACCTTATAAGCCACAGCCGCCCCTTGAAATAAATAAATAGCAGCGGTGGAATGAGAGATAGAAGGAATATAACATCAACACATTTTGAATGTTTTGCTCCGCTTAGTAAACCAGGGCAGTTGATGTACCCCATCCATAATTAGAGAAGCAACATAAGAGTATTTAGAATCTGAAACTCCTCTATTTATACGGGCTCAGGAATCTTCAGGCCACAAACACGATGGACACTGGAAGGCTTCCATGTGTATTTCTGTGTGACTGCAGTAAAATGTTAACGGGTAGCCAGTCCTAAATGTCTGAGTGCAGTGGGTCAGAGGCTTCACAACACAAGCCGAGGCAGCCTTCGTCTTTCTATAAATGCCCGGGCCTGGGAAGAGTAAAACTAAATGATCTTATTGACCTTCTTTAAAACATGAAATAAGAGACAGTCACTTTCATTAAGAAGACCATTCTTAGTTTAATTAAAAAACCACAAAGTTCACGTCTTGGTGTCACTACACTGTTTGTTTTGTATTGATCCAAAACATAAAAATGATGACTCTTTTCTCAATATGTGCAACCGCTGCCACATATTGGATCGCCGGGAAGAAACGCATCAAAGCGTAACCAAGTGCAATGGAGAGACATTAAACACAGCACTCGGGCTTATGCAATGAGATTTCTTTTTCCCAGGAACTCATGAATAATCAATTTGCAGATGCACTGCACTTCTTCTGTTTAAATTACTTTAATGATCCATGACTGCCTCGAAGTTAGAGGGAGCATCCGAGGGCACTTAAATACAGAAAAATGGATACAATCGGGGTGTATTGAGCAGCCGGTGGTCTGAAATGTACTTTATGGAACAACTGCCAAGAATAAAATGTGCTGTACATATTCAACACAGAAGTATCTACCTAAAGTTTTTTTTTTTTTTAACAATTTGTCTAATGATTTACCAGTAAATTCGAAGTGCAAAACAGCATTTTGAAGCCACAAACAAAAACTGTCAGAGCTTAAAGGCTCATCCAGGCAGCAAACAGGAGGGGAACTTTAGAGAAGTTTATACGGCATGTGGAGTTGTAAAGGTTTCTTCATAATAGTGAAGCATGTATGTTTTTTTTTTTTAGGATAGAAAGTAACTCTAAACTCGCTATTTAAACAGCGTCATTGATTAATCACAGAGGCAGCAAACAAATTTACTTTAAAACAGGTTACGTTTATGTGGATGGTCTCACTCAGTCAATAAACTGATATGTTTATGGCATTATTCTCCAATCTAATGATATGTTAGTCTACAACAGACACAGCTTCTTTCCTGTGAATATTACACCAGAGATGAGTTTTTCTGTTATATTTAGTACGTTTTTATACAATCCCCTGTCTGTATTGTGTATTTCATGATTTTTTAATAATCATACATACTTAATAGGCTTATTTTTTATTAACAAATTCAGTGTTTTCTTCTCCTTGACGCTTGGCCATTGTTCTGTTAGCTCGTTGGTTTGTTTTAACTGCATACTTTACTAATGCAGGACAAGAGTGAATATATCTTGACCATGCCCTTATCCTTTATCCATCATTTATAATTGTATATCTTAATTAATAGTCTTAACTTTTAAAATAACAATTTCATTTAGTTTTCTTCACAAGAATGAATATAATGCTGAGATATAGGCCAACTGTGTATTTTTTGAATTGAAGAAGATCCCAGTGAAGCTCTGGCGACCCCTAGTGGGGGTCAGGGCCCCCAAATTGAGAACCAGTAGTATAAGCAACTAATAGCTATTAAAAACCCTGATGTCAGTTTTTAGACACAATGACATACTGATATGTGTTATTACCTCCACATAAGACCGGGTCCACGCGTTGGTGAGCTGGTTTACATCCACATCTCCCGTTGTGAGTCTCTGCAGGGCCAGCTCTGCCTCTCTGTCATAATCCACGATGGTCTCGTTCTCGATGAAGGTGGAAAGCGAGGTTTTCAACTCTGCAGGGGCGGAGGGGAGGTGCACACGCAGCAAAAAAACAGTCACTTAAAAAATGTTTTCATTTCTGTGCAAGCCAAGTGGTACACTGCAAAATCAATGAGCTGGACCCAATCCATCCGTTTAGGTTTCACACTAATAGCACGCATGCTGACAGTACCATCTCTTTCCCTGGAGCACGTGTAGAGAGATATTATTCGAGGGGATTAAACTCAAATAAACAGAATCTGATGTGTCTTCTCCAGCTGTGTAGATTTGGTTTATGCAGTTTTCAGGGGGGGCTGTTACTGAGTAGTTAGGGGCCCTGCACCAGTCCAAAAAATACAAGTAATAATGACAAACGATGATGACACTATTGAATGTTTTTTTTGGTTTCAGGAATCGAGATCTAATACTTTATACAGATGATACTGGATTTACTACATATAAAAACACTGAAATGTAGCCTAAAATATCATTTTACCGGTCTCCAATTATCAATATATGGTCAGTTCTTGTGTGTTTTATAGGAGTACAGTGTATCAGACATTGACAACTGCAAATAAGAATGAACTAACTATTATCATTAAGGATTAATCTGGCGACCATTTTCTTGATTCATTGATTAGTTGTTCCATAAGATGTCGAAAACGTGAAAAAGCTTGATCACTGTTGAGCCCACAGAGATTTCTTATTTAAAAAATGACTCAATTCGAGTTCATGTTAGTTGTCAAATTTGCTGAACAAAACTCAAGAGAAGCAGCAGTTAGAGTTTAGTTTAGTTTTGTGCTAAAGGAATTAAAGGCCTGT